ATAGTGCACAGGATTTGGGGACATACTAGAATATTTCCCACATGGTTGTTTCCTTCAAGGAGTTTACTATGGGGTTGGTGAAAGAAAGCATGTATGCAAATCATTGTAATACAAGATTAGTTGCATAGATAGTGAAGTGAAATGGCTCAGTTGGAGTTTAGAAATTGAAGTGGTCTTCTCTCTGGGAAAAAGGAAGGTGATGTTATAGTGCTCTTATCTTTGGACCTTATGGTTTAAACTAAATCAGGTTTCTTTTTGCACTTGGGGGACTCACTCCTAAGGTAGCTAAGTCCTAGCAGAGGAAGTTGGGAAGCTGAAAGAAATATTAGCATGGCACTCTTCCACTGTGGATGTACCCATAATAGATCAGGTACTGGTGATTGTTTAAATTAATTCCCATTTATCCAAATAGTTTTCTTAATTGGGTTCCATTTGGAAGGTGCATCTGGTCTGAACATGGGGTTTCTGTTCAAAAGGAAAGTTATTGATAGAAGGAAGTGGGTGATCATTTCAGAAATGGCAAAGACTTTTGGCCTGGACTTTAAATGTGGAATTGGCCTAATTTAGCTACGGTATTCTCAAATGGCCAAGATTTTTTTTTTTTCCTTTTCAGTACTAAACTTCTTTGTAATACTATAACCAAAAGAAATGGAGGAAAAGTGAAAGGTGGCTACAACCTCATAGTATTGAAGAATTTAACAACATGTTCAATTCAAGGACCTTTACGAACTTTCTAGATCACTATAATTCGGTTTTACAGACCTCTAATTTAAGGCACAGCACAGGCAAAAGAATTACAGACTCCCTGGGAGCTGGAAGGACTGGGTACTTCTTTCCAGCCTTACCAACAGTGAGATTCCGAGAAAGAATTTCTTAAAAAGAAATTTTGTTTTCCACAGTTGTAACTTTAGGTGGTATGCTTTTCAGCTTGTTTATATTAGCTGTCTGGGGTTGAGCTGACATTTTTCAAATAGTAAAGTGGTAGAATGCCTTTTGAGGAAATCTGAAATGTAAGTTAACAGGAAGGGCACCCAGAAAGTGCAGGAATTCCTGCACTTTACAGGAAGACAGGCTACAGGAAAAATGTGTCATCTACATTACCCCGGGAAAGTAAAACTATTGTTATCAGCCATAATGATCTGAGGGAGGAAGGGAAAGAGGGAGGGAGGGAGGTCTGGCATCTCCCAGTTCACCTGAAAATACACAAAAAGTTTTTACCCTGTTAAAAATGCACTTTTCCTCACTTCTCCTTCTATTCACCCTTTAAAAACATTAGTTTATCTTAGTTCAAGATAGTAATAGGTAAATCATGTCGTGAGATCTGTGTATAAGGCATGATTTAGAAGCATGTAGGAGAGTGGTAGGCAAGGGCTTAAACTTACTGTGGGTTCTTTGCTTCTGTAATTCATTCTTCCCTGGGAAATGAAAATGTGTAAATATCTCATTCTGTAAATTCTTTTGTTAGGTTGTACCAGAGAGACTTGTCATGCTTGGTCTGTAATCTGAGCCAGTATGTTTTATAACCTCGTACATCTCAGGACACAAAATCAGAATAGGTATGCTGGGTTTCCTGAGTTTGTTTTGTATCAGTGGGGCATTCATTACTTTACAGCGTCCTGCATGTCAGCTGCAGGGGCTTTCCCAGGGTCTCTTGGTGGTAAATTGGATGCTGGAGGAAAGGGTCGAGATTCTCATTCCTTTGTTTTTCACAGATTAGCATCATTAGAGCTACTTTAAATTATTTTAAAGTCTGAAAGGTCTATATGGAATACTTTTAAAACCTAAAAGGAGAAAGTACTTAAATAATACTTGTTCATTGTAGAAATATTTGAAAATGTAGGAAAGGAAAATAAGAATCACTAGATACCATAGTATACATTTTGGCATATACCCTTTTGGACTTTTTTTCTACTCTATACATATGTGAATAGAAACAAATCTAAAATGTGTATAAAATTATTGAGTTACTTATTATTTCAATTTATCAATAGTCCTGTGAAATATTCCAAATTAATATATTTCTACATTAATAAGTGCCTTAGACTAAATTCCAGGATATAAAACTATAGGTTATGGGCTAATTCTGCATGTCCCATTCTCTTCCCTACCTTTTAAAAATAGCTTGTTTATTGCTATAAAAACAATATATAGTCACTAAAAAAAATTCAAGCCAAAGAGGAATTCATAAGAAGATAAAAACCACTCAAAGTCACACCACCCACAGCTAGTTACCGTTAACTTTTTGGTGACTATCTCTTCGCATTTTACATACATACATTTGCATATGTGCTCTTTTACACACTATGTATAATATTTTGTAACTTGCTTTGTAATGGACCATATATCTTGGACATCTTTTTGTATTCATGAACATACAATTACCTCATACTTTCTAACAATTGCTCATTTTAATTTGTAAGAATGTAGCTGTTTAATCAATCCCCAGCTGGACTTGAACATAGTTCCGTTTTTTTTAGAGCTATAAACAGACCTGCAAGGAATACTTTGAACACATATCTTTGCACATCTACCCAATTATCTCCTTAGGATGAATTCCTAGAAGTGGAAGTGCTGGAGCAAAGGGCATGAATAGTATACTGCCCTCCAGAGAGTCAGCACTAATTCTTAATTCTCACCAATGATGTTTGGCAGTGCCTATTCCCTCCTTTTCGCATCCTGGTAAATATTGCTAAATGAACTGCTCTTCGGAGAGGTTATGCTCACTCTCCTTCATCTTGGTATAATAATTTGAAAAAAAAAACTTTGCCAATTTGATAAAAGAGATTCATATTTTGCTCTTATTTGCATTTTTCAGTAATAAAGAAGTTGAATTTTTCCTTTTTTTTTGACATTTGTGTTCCATGTGTTTCAGTTTCTTTTTTTCCTCTTAAAACGTATTTTTAAAAATTTAATTTGGGGATCAAATTATTTTCAAAATTAAGCCAGAACATTCCAAGATGGCAGAGCTTAGGTAATTATGGGTTGAAAGTTGGGCTCAGTTTTCATGCATCTAAACAATTTAATTCCCTGGTGAGTTCTAATTTTAATTTTAACCAAAATGTCTTACGTAAACACATATTTTACAAACTCATTTTTTTTATACTGTCTATAGCTACCCAGATCCATATGAAAATAGTAAGAACAGTGTAGTGATCTGATTTAAATTCTGCCTGGAATTTACTAACTTCTGGACATTTCTGCATTTTCAGTTATCTCTACAGGCAAAAGTAAGTTTTTCTTTGGTTTCATAAATAATTCTTACATAGCACCTGGTTGTGTTACATGCATTGTTGCAGAATAATTCTTTTTTTTTTTTTTTAGCTTCACGTGCAATGCCTCATCATGAAAGGTGGTTTACTTTAGTT